TACTCTACAACTTACTAATATCGTAAATAACTATAAAAAATGCCGTGTTGCGGCTGAGAAATAGTCGGAAAACTGTGGACGTGCGCATCTGCGAACATTCCTCCACATCATCGAGGCAAAAGGCTGCTTGGAAGTATAAAGTTTTTTGAATTAAGCACGGACACGAGGCTATTACGCTTTCTAACATAGGCGTGTTAGTAGAGGTCGATAATATTGATGCGTTTTTGCGATATTTGTTTTTAGTACATTATGTATGAGAACGGCTACGAAGTAGACTGCTGCGGTAATAACGACGCAATAGATTATAGAATGACGAAATATCGCAATACCGCATCCGATGTTAACGACCTATAATAACGCACTTATGGGCGGGAGGCTTTATTGTCCGCACTGCTGGAGCACAGACCTTCCCTGTGGATGGAATGGCCGTAATCCACACACGGAATGGAATGGTCCAGTGCGGATTGGTGGTGCTAACATCTGCAGATTCAGACGGGACCACCAGCTTAGCGTGCATTTCGAAGCACGGAGGGAGGAGAAAGATATACCAAACAAAGGGTAAACACTATGGCAGCTTACAACCTGATATCCCATCAAAACCCAAACCTTGGTTCTTCCGCCACAAACGTAATGTAATACATGATTGACACGTTCACTGCGTATCACCCATAATCGAGCTGATGCGGTGCTAACACTGTGTACGTTTAGTATAAAAACGGGTCTCTCCCGCTGTTGCGAAATGTTATATCGTAAACTATTGGGTGATATGTCTATCAGAAGGTTTTTTTCATCTGCATCGAAGCCAAGCGAGGGCAGTGTGTAGTTATAAAATAATAAAAAAAACGCGTCGGTTCTTTTTGACATCCACCGCACAGAACGTAAACTTTCTAGGTGAGAGGCCCACGCATGAGTTTTCGACAGATGCGTAACGTCAAAGCGCAATCGTCAAATGTTATATGAAAACTTAACACTAATATATAGTAAAAAAATCCACGCGGACCAGGCAGCGGACGGGACTCGAACCCGCATCCTTCGCTATCCGGGCGAATGCACTGACCATTATGCTACCACGGCCCTATTCGCCGCGTCGAAATTTTTCCTAGCCTTAAGCTGCAAGGCAGCGCCATCTCTTCGCATTGTAGGTAACCCACAATGTCAAATGAATACTTTTTCAAGTATTAAACATTTGAAAGAAGAAATAGCAATTATAGTTGTTTTTATTTTTTTTAAGCATTTAACTGCTAGATTTTTAAATCTAAAGAAAAGTTTACTAGAAAAAAAAAACTTTTCTTTAGATTTAAACATCTATCAGTTAAATGCTTAAAAATAAATAAAAACATAACTAATATATAGTGTTAAGTTTTCATATCAGAAAAAAATCTGGTGACCCTACCCCTACTGCACCAAAGCAACGTTCCCGCGTCATGTGAAATGAAATGAATGACGTATTAGCGCAGACCAGGGGGGCAATCTCCTAACAGAAATGCTTTGGGAAACGCTAACGCTTACGATTTTATCTTGTTATTTCTAGCCGCCTGAGGTTTTCGAATACCTCACGCTCATTTTTTTTAATATTGTTATTACCAATGCAGAAGAAAAAGAAAGAGCGCGACGCATTTGAATACCTCAGGCGGCTAGAAATAACAAAATAAAATCGTAAGCGTTAGCGTTTTCAATAGCATTTCCGTTAGGCGATTGGCCCCCAGATTATTTCTTGCTTAGCGCCGAAATAGTGTATACAGTTCGTTTGTAGAAACGACAAGAATTCTGACATAGGCCCGGTGTCTTTTAGCGTGTACAAGCGGTCTAGGGGAGGAGTTTTAGGAACTACCGGTCAAAAATGTCGTTTTAACCTATAGAAGGTACCTATGTACCAAACATCAGTCCTGTACATCGTATTTGCGTTTTTTTTATTGCAACTCGACCACTCGTTGTTTAAGAGGAAGTATCGCCTTCGTGAACGCATATTTAAAGAAAATTACTTATTAAAAATAATATAAGCAATAACAAATACGGAGTCATATGGCGCGGGTGGTTAGCGCCTTCGGCTGCGATCGTTGAAGTTAAACAACTTTCGCAGTGGTCGGTCATTGGATGGGTGACCAAAAATCTTCTATCTCGAGTTCCTCCGTGCTACGGAAGGCACTTTAAGGCGTTGGTCCCGATTCCCGGTTGCGTCTGCAGTCGTTATCATTCGTCAATCCGTACTGGGCCCGCGTGGTGGGCCATGACCCAATCTCCCTATTCCATCCATAGGGAAAGTCTGTTCCCCAGCAGTGGGGAAATTAATAGGCTGATGATGAATAACAAATATTGAAATACCTAAGTAATACCTAAATAATAATGAGTCATTTGTTTTTTCATGTTCTAAACCAGACGCGGTGGCTATCGGCTCGATATGACACAGTATTGGTTTTCATCATAAAAATAGATTTAAAATCGAGTATAGCATTTCGTATAGGTTACTCACTGTCTACATTGCAATTAATTAAAGCACGTATGAATAACACGTTCTCGTATAAAAAGAAAAGTTCTATATTTGTATTATAACACGGATGCAACCAAGGATTATTCTAGGAATTATACGGGATTTCCAATTAGGGTCATTAAATCTACTATATAAAAATAAGTCGGGTTTTCCTTCCTGACGCTATAACTCCAGAACGCACGAACCGATTTCCACGGTTTTGCATTCATTGGAAAGGTCTCGGGCTCCGTGAGGTTTATAGCAAAGAAAATTCAGGAAAAAATAAAAAAAAAAACTTCTTTTAATCACCAAACGAAATGTTACATAAAACGAAGCCATCTGGTGGCGAAACGGAGTTCGCCGGGTTTGCTAGTCTTCTACTATATAAAAATAAGTCGGGTTTTCCTTCCTGACGCTATAACTCCAGAACGCACGAACCGATTTCCACGGTTTTGCATTCGTTGGAAAGGTCTCGGGCTCCGTGAGGTTTATAGCAAAGAAAATTCAGGAAAATTTTACCAAAAAAAAAATTCTTCTTTTAATCACCAAACGAAATGTTACATAAAATGAAGCCATCTGGTGGCGAAACGGAGTTTGCCGGGTTTGCTAGTGAATTTTATATAATTACCTAATTATTTAAAATAAAGAAATTCGGTTACCTACAATGCGAAGAGATGGCGTTGCCTTGCAGCTTAAGAAAGGCTACAAAGAATTCGACACGGCCATCAGGGCCGCGGTAGCATAATGGTCAGGGCATTCGCCCGGATAGCGAAGGGTGCGGGTTCGAGTCCCGTCTTTTTTCTAGTAATATTTTCTTTAGATTTAAATATCGAGCAGTTACTTGTTTAAAAATAAAAAAATATTCTTTAATTGCATTATAACACGGTTGAATCCAAGGATTATTCTAGGAATTATATGGGATTTCCAATTTAAAATGGGTTACTGTGCCTGAAATAAACATTTATTATTATTATTATTAAGGTCATTAAATGAATTTATATAATAACCTTTTTATTTAAAATAAAGAAAGTTCTTCTGTTCTGTGAAAATATTAGATCTGGTAAATCATGGTATTATTTTATTCAAAGTGACAAAAAGTTTAGGCATTGAATAAAGGCAAAGCATATCAAGTTGATTGCATAAAACAACTTTATAACCGTCCAAATATTTGAAACTTTCCGTCTGCGGCTTCGGGTTTTGTTTAACAAGCTTTCATTTTTGTCGTTCTCGCGACACATTACAAATTTCTAATCATACCTACATCTTTAATTTACGTAGAAGTAGAAGCTTTAATAAAAAATCTACATTTAATTTTTATATTTATCTTCATAGGTTCAAGTAGTTTGCAAAGTTTCGTGATTAGTCAGTAGCCTTTTGAATTTGTGTAACTAAACTAACTAACTAACTACCTAAGGTAACTCCATGCATAGATAAAATTTTAATGCATGTCATAAACACGAGTCTGACGTAAATGCAGCATAGCAGCAGCACCTGACCCCGCCCTTCAAAACCTCAATGATAAATAATGTTTTTATTCTTATTATAAACAATGTTGAATTACGAAAACTGTATCTACACAATATGAGATATACCTATAAAATATGGGTATAGTTGGTACTTTAAAAGGCGACAGTTTCGGATCTATTGTAAGTATGTGGTCAACTAGTCACTTTATTTTCTGGACAACTATAGTAGCGGTACTATAGTTAGAGGAGGGAGTAAAGTTATCAGAACCAATGGTTATTTATCAGTCTCATCCTGTTGTACCTTTTACGTTCTGCCACCCTTATAAAAGCTAAGTTTGTCAGCAATCGTCATATTTATTTAGCCGTTACGGCGTAGTTGTACAACAAACAAACTAATCTTTTCTAAAGGGTGCTTACCACGTAAAGGATCAAAAGTTTATTTAAGTGGTGCTACGAGTAGCTACAGGTAACATAAAGAATCAGTTTTTGTCCGTACTTGCTGTTGTTTTTAAGTACGGATGCCGATAGTAAGATACATAGGAGCATTTAATCTGTACATTACGTACCGGTAAGACTAAATACAGGGGAGTATTTTACCCGGTAGCTATGGCTAAGTACCGATAAAAAGTTATTTTTGAAACAATGAGAAAGCAGTTCTTAGTAACTCTGGGCTAAGTTCGTGAACCCAAAATAATGTGGAGAAAAAGAAAAAGAAGTTTAGTGTCCGAAGCCCAATCCCATAGACAAATTAAAACGTGTACTCTTCATCAAACCGAGAGGCATTTCCTCAAATATACTTCGACATAAAAACAAAAAAACACCCCATACACAAATATACTTAACTATGGCACAATATCAGTGAATGTCCCACGGATACCGCGGCGACAATCAAAACTCTAGCGACCTTGAGCGTAACGCCTTCGGCATCCACCTATAGGACAATAATGCTCCCTAAATAGTGCCTCCAAAATCGTCATCTGCGCAAGCAAGGCATATTATCCCGCGCAATCTCGGCATGTCGTCACCGCCATCAACGAGCTGCATCCTGCCAGCAATTGGGATGATTGCGCTCGGCGCTGGGACATCAGTCGTGTCCTGATCGCCAGCGAGACATCTGCAGGTGAGTACCGACACCTGGATACCAATTACCGAAAAATCCCGATTGCCCATGAATAACTAGACGTAATGCCGGATCATTGTAAGAATATGGCTTAAGGGAATTAAAGCGAACGTAATGCTGGATAAATGTAAGAATGTTGTTGAGACTAGGACTGGTGGACCCAGCGATAGTCAAGAAATCAAATTTTCAAAGACAGCGTATAAATTACGTTAGTCTCAAGTAACGTTGCTAAATAATGGAGCTAGGGTAAAACACCCTCGATTGTTCTCTGTAGTGTTGCAAGCGTCTATAGATTTTTTGTTCGCTTACCATCAGGCAACCCATAAGCTTGTTTGTCAGAGTTTTATCATCTACCCGCAACTAACATGAACACCGCCATATTTCGTTATCGCCATTTACTGTGAATGTATGTAATTAATTTAAGGCAGTCATGATTTTAAAACTTGAGTAAAACAAACTTTCGTTCTAGGTTGTAGGTACGCATCATGACCATGTTCGATAATAATAATAATAATAAAGCTTTATTAAATTCCATGCAAAACAAACATATTCACCATGTTCGATACTAAATCATAATTAATGTTTTCCGCGGCAAGTTGTCGAGATATCCAATCGTAATATTTATTGACGCTGTTTATGTAAATTTTCCGGTACCTAATGTGAAAAATATAGGAATAACATTAGGTTGGAACACCGTGTTAAACAACGGAAATGTCAGTGACATTTAAAGCTTATCAGCAAATATTCTCTCAATTTATTAGCATAAATCAAAGAAAATTTTGATTAACCAAGTAATTAAAATTTGTTCGACAACAGATTCTTCAAACTATAATTTTGATTTGGATTTGTAGATTGCTTCTGAATTTGTTTGTCAGCAGGAAATTATGATCGTAACGATCGTAATTTATAAACCTGAATCATTCCAAAAATCCCAATTAAAAAAAGTTCCATTAATTACAGTTTTTGTCGTTGGACTTTTACTAATGCTAATAACTTTCTTTCGGGATATTACCAAAAGAACATATTTAAATTTAAAAGAATCAGTGCAATAAAGCCGACGAGGAAAGTTCTCGATATTATATAGTTACTTCAGCTCAGGGCGCTCGAGTTTGCCACATGGCGGAAAAGTACTTTACATACTGCAGATTAAACTGGATCGAAACTAAATGAATATTTGGATTGATATTCATTAGCTTTCAGTCTTCTTTGTCCCGCAAAATAGGAATACTGGGACTTAGAGGATGCAGCATAAAGATTATTTGGGGTAGTTTTTAGCCAAAACTGGACGAAGTTACAGAACCGGTATTATATGTAGATCTTAAGATTAGAAAGTCTTCTATAAAACTAAAAACTGACGTTGTTTGAAATGAAATCAAACGATTAAGCTTTATTGGCATCCTTATATAGACACGTTTATAAATGAAACAATAAAAAAAAGAACACCAAAAAACTTTACCTTTGAACAAAAAATATAATATAACTAAGATGGCCAATCAGGACCCTAACTCAGCTTATATTTGAGATCATCATCATCATTATCTGCTTAATGAGAGAATACTTTCTCACTACATCAGCGCTGGTATTCTGGCAGAGTCTGTGTGAGGTCGTATTCATTTCATTTCATTGTTTGTTATCTCGTTTTCAAGGCAACGCTGCCTTGTTTTTTAATTTTCGATAAGTAAACAAATGGGGTTATTTCCATCAGTCGCTCCAAATGTTCACAATACATCGGTTTCCTTTTTTCCCAGGATCAAAGGATGGGCTATACCGGCTATAGGATGTTTGCTGTTGGGCTCGTGGCGGCGTGTGCGTGTGTGCACGCCCTCCCTCCGGATAAGGTTTGTTAAACACGTTTAAGGCTGCTTGTTGACGAGACGACTTTCCGCCGGGTCTAGGTACGATCGTCAGATATAGGAAACTATTGAGGTTTGTTAACGACGTTTGGGCAATAGTACAAACTATGCTCATGAACAAGCTTGGCCGGCACCGGCCCGGGTAGAAATCTTCTCGTTAATCATTCATACGATGAAACATGCAGACGCATTTCATAAGTTCGAACAGTTTTGATCTATATTTAAAAGGTTTATTTTTGAGGTACTACGATGTAATGGGTTTTCTGCCTGGAAAAGTACTCACATTAAGAACCTAGTGTAATATGTTTTGTATTTACAGGCAACGAATCGATCACCCTAGTCCCATAACACGGATAGAGGCATTAAACAATGTTAAAGTATATTTTAATAAAAGTGAAAGTAAATTCATAGACTTGCTGTGTTTTTGCTTATTCTGGTATTAGGTCCTCTAACCACTATCCATTCTGCTGGATCCACTGTACGAGGAAACGCTTGGAGATACAGTATCTCTTTTACGTGTAAAGCGCTGTTTCGCATGCTACATCCAGCAAGATGGATACAGCGTAAAGGACTTTAGTGACATTTTATAGAAGGATTGTATAAGTGTTTCATTTTTAATACATGTGCTTGCACTCTTCATATTTAATGGTTAAAAAAACATTTGCTTCTGATTCATATTTATAGCAAATAGAAATCAATTGTCCATTCTCATCCGTCTGGGATATTATTATAATACTACTGGTGTCGATTTTCGCATGATTCTCTAAACTTAAAACTAAATTTAACATTAGTTTCTCCTTTTTTTGCAATTTGCATTACGTATCACAATTGCATTTGCATCTGCGTCTGCAAATTCTATATAGAGAATGACAAGGATACACTGTTGGCAAATCTAATTTTAGGTTGAGAGCATCATGATACCAGAAACTTAACACTAAATTTAACATCAGTTTCTCCTTTTTTTTTGCAATTTGAATTATCACAATTGCTATTGCGTCTGCTTTTGCAAATTCTGTATAGCGAATGACAAGAATACACTGTTGTCAAATTTAATTTTAGGTTGAAAGAATCACACCAACACGCCAACGTTACAGAACATTTAGATTTTTCGCCTATACGCGTCGGAGTGGGGCCAAACGATTAATGATCATTTACGCTATTACTGGAACGCAATAAGTGCGCCTACTGATAAGGAAATAACAACGACATGACGAATTCGATTTTCATTAAAATTTCCAATGGCTGCATAGTGAATATTCTTTAGATTACTATCGCTATAGGTAATAGTATTTCGAGAGTTTTTATCGATGACGATGTAATTCTACAAGGTTACCTAAATTGGGTTTCACCATACGGCACCAAGACTTACAAAGAGAAAGAAAAGTTAGGACTCACAAAGAGGAAAAATACTCATATTATTTTTAACTCCTGAACATCTAGAAACCGTCTAGTTGCGTGTTTCAGATTTTCTATAGGTCACTTTTCGAGTAGTGTGTACAAGAGCTATTCGAATTAATCCCACCTCCAACTTTTTACCATCGGATGACGAGACGTGGACAGGGTCACAATAACAGGGTTTTCATCCGTACGTGGGTAACATACCTCCTGCGCACCTTACGATTCGTATTCTCCTTTATGATGCAAACTGCTATGTAATGGAACTTCCTTAACAACATCGTTACTTAACATCAGATGTGATTGTAGTAAAGGCCCTCAAATTTATTATCAAAAAGGCTTAACAATGCTACATTTTCCTTATAAATGAATCACAAACCCACCTTGAGAGTTTCTGAGAGAAATTCAGATGCGACGATAACTATTGACAGAGAAACATTTATGAAGTTCCAGCTATTCTCCGTATGCCAAACTGGATGTACCCAGTAAAATGGACGGACTTAATCCGCTTGCTGAATTCTTACTCCTTGCAAACAATATAACTAGATCATTTTAGCATCTTAACAAACACGAGGGTATTATTTTTGTATGTTTTTGATATCTGGAAAAGGCGTTACGCCACTGAACCACCGGGAGTAGCGCGAACAAGGTATCTGAAGACTTCTCCCTCATCCTCCTCATCTGAAGACCGGAAGATCCGGCCCAATAGGTTCGATAAAACGAGTGAAATGAAATGAAATGAGAAGTCATTTATTTAGTCTAGGCTGTTACAAGCACTTGTGAAGGTCAAGAAGCTACGCCATTGGGCCCTACCCAGTAAAAAACAGATAATACTCCTGCACCGGTCACCTGATACGCACCATGAGGACCGAGGTCCCCCTAATGCATGTCTGGAATGTGAGTAGTGACGTGGAACCCTACAAGAAAATGTCCACGCACCCACAAGCTGATAGTGCGTTTCCCTCCGAAGATTTTTATATCTGAAGATAATTTTAACGTCAACTTTTACTCGGCTAAGACATCAAACTAGAAATTCGATACGTCCGATAAGATCTGTCTTAGTAGCATAATCAATGTCAGTGTATTTGCCCAAACGGCCTACCCCATAGTGATTACAAAAATCAACGACGTGACCTGTCGAATAAGACAGGGAGATAAAAAGAAGCCCAAGATAATCCACATCGATCTCCTGGGACCTTAACATGGCAGCAATGACGCTCGGGACGAGCATGTCTAAGAGGGGAGCAGTGTCACAAATGCTCTCGAAACAAAACCGCGAACATACTGGAGACAGAATTTACCAGAACACCGCGGATCGCGATAAAGGTCGAGTGGTCCGGTACATTCTAATATGAGCTTTATGCAATGCGGTGTAAGGGAGAAAGTGCAACGACATCTGCACTTGATTACAACTTACGGGCGTTACCTGCGTAGGTATAAGTAGGTACTACGCACTCGCGGGTGCTAGTTAACTCTCAATTTAACGGGATTTCTCTAGTATGCGTCGCTTTTCGTATATATAAGCGCGATCAGCGCCCCGCAGAGTCACTTTAGTTTCAAAGCGATAACAGTTGAGTTTCAACAGCGATTTCGGAAGAAATACAAAGGCGATCAAAGTGCAAGCAAAGTGTTCAAGTGCGACTGTTTTAAGACTTATAATAGTGAAGTACAGTATTTAGTGAGTATATTCTGATTGACATTGTGTGTTAACTATGTGAACTGTCTGGTGAATAAAGTACTGTCAAACGTGAACTGGCATATAATTTGAACCCCATCTCGACACGTAACAAAATATTTAGCTGCATGTCTGCATCATATCAATGGCTCAATTCATGACAGTGCATTTAAAAATCTGAAATGTAGCATCTGATGATTTGAATAATCAAAGCACCTATGTACAATTGAATTTTAAATTGCGGTCGTCCTGTTACTGATCGCTGGTATTTACGGTGTACATGTCTCTACATTCAATATTATGAGCATGAAGTAACGTGAAAACAAAAAAAATATTATTAACACGAATTTATATTGGATTCGCACGTGAAAATTTTACAGAATAGCAATAGTTCGCTGTGTGCGTTGCTGCGCCTTGTCACATGAGTTCAATATCAATATCAAATCATTTATTGCTGCCTCCTGATCCTATCCTCTAAATTCCGATCCAACGTTCATTAATTTCCTACTAATGTTTCCTTACCTTTGACACTGGCAAGGCACACCGTGTCCTGCCATTAAAAAAAAAAAATATTGCATTCATGTACGGTAAATGAACCCTGTCAGGGTATCGCAATACCTGTCAGGGTTCTTATGAATAAAATTTATAATAAATCTAATATACAATTTAAATAAAAAATTCTTGAATTTACGTAATATAAATATCTACTATCATAGTTCTATTTATTTTTGGGACTCTCGCGTGCTTATGTCATGTCCAGTCGAAAAGTCTGTACGCGAGATTTTTAATACCTCGTGTGCTGCGGACTCGATGTAGTTGTAAGCCATCTATTTTGGCGGACAAAAATGTACGCGGACAAAAGTCCCTTGTGCACAGGCTTATTATAATTTTTTGTTCGAATGCATGTCTGATAGATCTGAGTTTCCATTTACTACGGTAACCGGTACCAAATATTAATTTGAATAAAGATAGAAAAAGGTTTATAATTTTTAGCTTTCGGGGGTAATTTTTTCAGGTACTTTAATACTACTATTACTAAATACACACACATAGGAGCTCGATGGCGCAGGTGGTTAGCGTATTCGGCCTGCGATCGTGAGATTAAGCAACTTTCGCAATGGCCATTTTTGGATGAGTGAACAAAAATTGATATTTCGAGCTTCTCCGTGCTTCGGAATGCACGTTAACCCCTTACCGTATACGAAGCCATTGGTGGCTCTAAAACATTGGCATTTTTTTTTAGAATTCTATTTTATTTTTATTTCAAAACAATTTTTATAAATATCTTATAAATATTTTCGTGTAACGGAACGTATTTTTTATTGGTCTATGGTTGGTGACATTTGTCAAAATATTTGAGGTTATGTGCAGCGCGGCCCACCGTTCGGATGCAGAAATGTAATGTTAATTTTATTTGTGAAAAGAAAGTAATAAATCGGTAAGTTAAAAATCCTAGAATTTTATATTGTGATATATATATATGTGCTATAACATGAAACAGGTGCTTTTTTGGTATTTTATTTTGTTTTACTTGACTTATGGATCCTTTTTTGAAATTGCCATTTTTGGCTTCGTATGCATTCACGTTAACATTTCTAATGCTCATATATGGCTTTGTGTGTGTTCATTTGCCTTTTTTCTTTCTTTGCAGCAATGAATCCTTCTCGCTTTTATGGTACTTCCAAGCATGTTATTGTTAACCCTATTCCTGGCGATGGCTTTATGAGTGACGATGAGCTTTCATCTGACAATTTTGACCACTTTCCCGAATGGAAACAAAATCGACAATTATGTCAGGGATGTTCAAAATATCGATCATTCACTATGTGTGGAAAGTGTTGAGTTTATTTGTGTTACAATGATAAACGTAACTGTTTTAAATATTTTCATAAGATATAAGTTTCTGTAATGTTCCTAATGCATACGAAGCCATATATGGATATTTATTATTTCACTAGACTGCATACGAATCCATATATGGCTTTGTGGGCTAAATTACAAAATAAGTAAAAAAAAAATTTTTTATTATTATTAATTTCTTAATTAAGACTAATAAAAGATACAATCGCTAAAATTTTTGTTTTATTTCATCCGTTTTATAATTCATGCAATAAGGGGTTAAGCCGTTGGTCCAAGCTGCATCTGCAGTCGTTAGCATCCATCAATTTCGCATTGGGCCCGCGTGCTAGGTCACGGTCCAGTCTCCCTATTCTCCCTAAAATTCGTACTTTATTTTCCATACTGTCAAATAGCCTATTTTAAAATGCATCCAATTTGAGTAAATGAATTTTAACTTTGAATTTGATTATAAGGAAATCATGACCGGAAGTATGCATCAGATCGGGCATGGAGGTTAGAGAGAAAACGATCGCTGTAGAAAATTATGTCCCAGAAATATGGACAAAATAAGTGAAGCGCTGCGATCGCTAAGTTGTCTCAATAAAAGCGGGCCGTTGTGCGCTAATTTGAAATGACCAATGCTGAGAAGAAAATTTGTACATTATTCAACTAACTTCATCTACTTGTACTCATTAACAGTTACGTACTAAAAATCACGCAAGGTTGTGTCATTGTTGCAATAGGAAGTATATCCTTACACTTCGGAACTAGGTTTGTCATGTACCGCGCGCTTTTAAAGGCACTCCTTTCTGTGTACGATTAAGTTGTAAAATGAGCTCCTACTGAAGGTTTTCCCAAAGGTTTCCTTATTAGTGGCGTCCAAAAAGTTTTATGTGATAAGCAACGCGTAATTTGATCGTGATAGTGTTACGCAGGGTCGCTTAAAGTTTATTTGCTATAGGTTCGTTTACTTTCTCTTTCTGTCTTCGTCTTCCATATGTGGGACGTTTACCTTGTATTGTAGGATTTTAGATTAGAATAGAATATATTTTATTAAGCCTCATATTACAGATATTACACATTTACAGATACAAATTCAAAAAACACAGGGCTAACCAGGTCTCTGCGTCAGCATTAGCTGATGCGACATTGTGTCGCACCAGCGCTGTTATTCTGGCAGAGCCTGTTTAGTGACACAAAAACAGACATGTTAATTATTTTTTTATTACTTGAAAGGATGTATGGACTTAGCACCCTTTGCTTTCAAGTAACAAAAAATAAAAATAAATAAAAGTCAATCAAAACAGCAAAAAACATAAAACTTACGTATTACCTATTTTAACAACATGACATTAATATGTTTTATAGATTTGGTAGACCAAATTCTTTCAGTGCAGCAGTGCTATTCCGTAAAGACAAACTCCATTTTCACACCCGAATCCGCCGGTGTGATTTGGAATTCATTTGAAATCCGTGTTCGAATTTTATATCACACTGCGGATTCTGAGGTGAAACGTGACTTTGTTCCATAAATTAAAACAAAAAGGTTTTAATCCCTTTTTGTTGTAATCTAAGGTTTGTTCTTACAGAATATCAGCGTGAATGAATGTTGTAGCTAACTCATTCAGTAGCTTCCTTCAACTCTCAGCAGTTTTAGATATTGAATTGACAGATGATTATATCTCTTGTTATAATTTTTATTTTCTAAGCAAGTAACTACTCGATGTTTAAATGTAAAGAAAATTTAACTAGAAAATAATCCACAAGGCCAGGCAGCAGACGGGACTCGAACCCGCACCCTTCGCTATCCGAGCGAATCGAATGCACTGATCATTATGCTACCGCGGCCCTGATTACCGTATCGTATTAATTAACTAGAGTCGAAGTCTGAGTCTCAGAGACGCCCTATAGTTGAGCCGTCCCCCTCAGGTTCGAGTGGCTAGGGGCTTCAGACGGAGAAACTCCCCCGGGTGGGAGATGCCGCCCGCCTGGAATACCTATAGAGGCACTCGCCAATTTTCGGCTAGGGGTCCCTTAGGATCTCGCCGTTCCCAAAATCGGGACGCTGGTCATCTGCGACCAACAGCATACACACTCAAAAAAAAAACGCGGCATGTTGCCGTGCTTCGAAAAGCGACTGCGACCGCACGTGACACTGATGTCGACCGCAGTCGCTAGCCGCGGTGTTGCCTGCGGTTGCAGTCTGCCGCCCATCACGGAATAGATTATTTGACCAGTTACAGAAAACGATCATACGTTTAAACGATTGAATAATGATTATGGTGTCCATAAAACGTGGATAATCATCAATCTGTTTTGTATTTCACTACAAAAAAAAACCGCGAAAACGTTTCTCTATGTGCACTATGGCGTCTCACTAGTATGTGACGTCACACAACTGTCATTAAAACGTCAAACGATACGGTAATGGTACGGTAACGGTAATGTCACTTTGACCGAAAGTTTACTAGCGTGTGACGTCATTTTAGTCTTCGCCAACCCCAGACGATTTCGGTTGTTCCAGTTGTTCTCTCGGAATAGTTTTCGCTTCTAATATTCATATTAAATACAGATGCCAACAATTGGCACTTTATTTTTTATGTTGTCAAATAGCCTATTGTATCTTCAACCTTTGTCACCAGCTCCCGGCAGCACACATCATCAGGGCGCGAAGCATCGACCTCAATAATGCGCACGGTCTCACCATGGAGACCCGGCTGGACAAGGCAGTAGTCCCGACCGCCTACAAGTTAGACCTGGAGCCATACCTGGAAGACGGGCTGTTCAAGGGCCACGTCAGCATCAACGTGACTTGGGAGCAGGAGGCTGACCAGATCAACATACACAGCGCTCATGAACTGGAGATTACTAATACGGAAGTCAAAGCGCATATTCCAGCTAATTCGTGAGTATTAACTATCTGTAGGAAGGCCAAAGGCCAAAGGGAAGATCTTCTTCCGAGCTGGGTGATGTTAGCTAGGGAGCCGCGGCCCGACTGATGTTGGTCGGGCATAGTATATATGAAATGTTGGCCGCCGAATTTCACTTGTGCGATGTAGGCTTCCATACTATTTGAGGGAAGCGCCGGTAGCGCCATCTCTTGAAGAGGCGAGTGATTAATTCCTCTATGTTGGTTATATGTGGGGCATATAGATGTCGCCGCCACAATCTATCGAAATTGAAATATAATGCTTTGTTGAATGCTTTTCTAAATTTTATACTTTATTGCTAAATCCTATACCCCGCGGCGTGTAAAACGAAAAAATAAAAACGCTGGAAAAGGGAGTATAAAGTTATTTATGTACAGAAGTTTCCAAGTATCTTATTAGGTAGGCAATTTTGTCGAAAGAAAAATGATATAATGCGTATGGTAGGTTTATTCTCTATTTAAAAAAGAGGCAGGTTATTAAAACTTAGGTATATTATTTTATAGATATCGGTTTGATGTAAAACTATAAGGTCTCAAGGAGCTAATTACTTATATTGTATACTGTAAGAATAATTTCCATTAACCTATAAATGAAATGAAATATAATTTATTGAAACAAAGACAATGAATACAATAAATGCGCACCTCTGAGAGTACATTAAAGTTCCTTTATATGTAATGTTCGTTTTTTGTATGTAAAAGAGAATGATTTAAATTTAATATAACATACTTAAATTAACAAATCATTTAAATGTTAGTATTTTATGCGTGTGCGCATGGGTATGTGTGAGTGTGTGTGTATGTGAGTGTGAGTGTGGTTGTGTTAAATGACGGAATCTGTTTAACCGATTTTTAAGGTTAGTATAATATCCAATCCTGCTAATATTATAAATGTGAAAGTTTGTATACTTGTTACTCAGTCACGCAAAAACGGCTAAACGGATTTCGATGAAATTTTACACACAGCTTAAAAGATATATACAAACTACTACAAACCTGAAAAGATATATAGTTTTTTTCCCTCGGAAAAGTGTTAAGTTCCTGAGGAATTTAAAAAAACTAAAGTTAACTTTATCCCTGACAAAGCCGCGGGCAATTGTAAGTGTTACAGAATTATATAATATGTAAGATATATTGATTTGACGAAATCCGTGGCCGAGTGGTTTGTACGCCGGGTTTCATGGTGTCGCCGACTCGAGAGGTCCCGGGTTCGAATCCCGGTGGGGGCAGATGTTTGTGTGATGAATACGAGCATTTATGCGAGCAGTCAAGACTGTTTAATATGTATTTCTATATAAATATACTTATGTGTGTACGGTATATGTATTCTATTCGTTACCACAGAGTCCCATTACACAAACCTTACAGTTTACTAATTAACTAACTAATTGGTGTGAGTGTTGGAAATATTTATTTATTTATTTTATTATTATATTGCTGCCTATAACTTACTCGATTGCGTTAGCGTGAACGCGATTTTGTATGGTATTTTTGTAGGCAGTTAAAATAACTCAAAAAGAAAACTATAACTAATACTAACCAACTATATAGTTGGAAACTCATATACCAACACCACGAAGCCTTTGCATCCATAATTATATCTGATACACTTCAATATCTACAGGTCTTTATTAGACAACTATCGGCCACTTACGACTTCGTCTGCACTAACTTAGTTTTTTAAGAATCTCACGGATACCTTAAATTTTTCCGACATAAAAAGTAGCCTTTGCCTCGATCCACGTTATAAATTCTATACATACCAAATTTCATCCAATCCGACCCAGCGAACTTCGTACCGCCATAAAATTTAGGGTTGTATATACTTTTGTACGAAGTATCATAAAAAAAAATAAAAAAAAAATTAGGGGTGGATTACCCTTATCATTTAGGGGTATGAAAAATAGATGTTGTCCGATTCTCAGACCTACCCAATATGCACACAAAATTTCATGAGAATCGGGAAAGCCGTTTCGGAAGAGTTTAAACACAAACACCGCGACACGAGAATTTTATATATAAGAAGTAGGATATTCTAATCAAAGATACTTCTGAGATGATTTTTTTCAATTAATATTCCATAATTTTAATCCTATCCCACTTATTACTAAACGAGAAAAATTAGTAACACGGTGTTTTGTTCATATCACTCAAATGCCATTGCTCATTCAATAGACAGAGACAGAACACGAAGTAACATATCTGTATCTATAAACTAATGTGTATGGGTGATGTATTTTTTTTATGTTTATAAATTTGCGAATTTATGAACATAAAAAAACATAATTAACATGTGCGTAATTTCTTATACAATAATATAATTAAAAATATACTATTATCTAATACAAACTTAAAACAAAAAAAAAACAAAAAAATATACTATAACCTTTGTTATAAGAACCTAAAACTAAAAACCTTAAAAATAACTAAAATACATTATTGAAAGGAGTCCCTTTAGGCAAGGTTCCGAAGATACTGGCAAAACGCTGCCAGTATCTTCGGAACGCCAAATCCAAAGGGGGAACGCCCCCTTTGGATAGCTAGACTAATTCTTTATCCGAGGTAGCCAGCTCTTCGGTCTCCTGTGATGTCGGCTATAGCGCTAAATATATTATAGATAAACCTTATAGCGCTAGGACCTCACGGACCAAGGGTCTCGACACCTAATGGGTAACTAATCCAAGCATATCCCTTGTTTATTAATAAGGTGGTAATAAAATTGCTGAAGCGGTATACCATAGTCAGTAATGATGAGACGATGACGCTTTTTTTATGTAGAAAACAACTTCAAAAGATAGGAGTGAGGAAAGTGGTGACGGACCTCAAGAAGCCGCTGGTGACCATCTACCTGGAGAAGACCGTTCCGGCGGCAACCCTGGGCGAGCTGGATATCAGTTTCAACGGGAATCTGGAGACGGCCAACACCGAGGCTTTCTTCAAGACCACTTACACCGAACAGGAGGTTGAAAGGTAGGATAGGTTAATCATAATTAAAATCATTTATTTAGTTTAGGCTGTTACAAGCACTCATGAATGTCTAGAAGCTACGCCATACTGAGAAGAACCGGCAAGAATCTCAGCAAGGGCTGTTTTTCTCTCACTGTTTTATTATTTACAGAGTCGTCAAGGTGAAAAATAACATCACAGATGATTCATGAAGTCACCTTTCATTACATAATGTGAAATTATACATTAATTGTTCACCTGCATTTTGATTGCTGTGTCATACAGTACAGTGACGACCTCCGTGGTCGAGTGGTTTGTACGCCGGGTTTCATGGTGTCGCCGACTCGAGAGGTCCCGGGTTCGAATCCCGGTGGGGGCTGGTGTTTGTGTGATGAATACGAGCATTTGTACTGCAGTCATGGATGTTTAATATGTATTTCTATATAAATATACTTATAATATATGTACTGTATATGTATTCTATCCGTTACCCTAGCATCCCATAACACAAGCCTTACAGTGCTTATTTTGGGGCTAGGCTAATTGGTGTGAGTGTTGGAAATATTTATTTATTATTATTTATTAAATATAAATAGTGTTATTTATATCTAGACATTTATATCTTAAATATCAAAGTAGTTAGGGCAGACTCATCTCCGCTGGCAGCACCCGTTAAGAGGAACAATCAGTGCCTGCTTTTGAGTTCCGACCACCCTAGGCTAATAATGAATACACCCCCCATGCCCTGTCCTACCTCTTCATTCACTTACATGTGCAACTTATTAAATTACAAGTACAGAGGAGAGCTTACGTAAACTAAGATCATTTAATCAAACTGTCACTATTAGTCGCGGAACGAAACTCTAGCGTTGACAGTTATTGCGCAGAAGAAAAAATTAAGATGTCTTGGGGGGAAATGAGGTGCGCGGGTGGGCGTGCTGTGAGCCGATTGGCTCTTCATTTGTATCCGCGTTAGAGTTACGTGTCGCGACCTGTAAGTAGGTAAGCGAAAAAGGAAAGGCACCAAATTAGTAGTAAAAGTATAATTATTCAAGTAAAAAAGGAAAAAATACTTGCGACTATTACTTTGAAATTTCGGAACATTGTATCCCACCAAAAACATTTTCATGTAAACTACAAACATAGTGTCTTATTCAAACTTTTTTCCCTTAGTTTACGGGGCAGAGGGATAACAACAAGGACAAGTTTAATATTTTGTTTTGTTGTTTTTGTACTAATAATAGCCTTCTAGGACATTAGGGAATATCTTACGAATTTTGATGATTTATCAGTGAGTCATTGACGAAATCAGGGTTTTTCAGATATCAATAAATGATCCCGAATGCGCCTTCGAGTTGTGAGTTTTACGGTCCACACATTTATTGAAGTGAAAACTTCTTTAGCGGCGTTGTACACTTGTTTTTGTATGGGTAAAAAATGTGAAACTCGTGTCAGGTGGGCTGATCGCATCATGAAATACCATAAAATTGGAAAGGTTGTTGACTTTCAATATATTGGACGAAAGATAATAATATTTTATTTAACCGTATTATAATAATAAGTCTCTATCTAGGACGTCTACGTGGCAACTTTATTGCATATTCATGTAAGTTGATTTTTCTGAGAGATAAACTTTTTTAATGTAATATAAATTGTCATGTTTGTGTAAATAAATATTGTATTCTACCACATACATTATAGTACTTTTATACTGATAATTAAAGCAATTCGTGCAAAATTATTCCCTAAACATTCCAAAATATCAAAAATGCACAACGTTAATATTCAAGTTTTTAATTATGGCGGCACTCCCGGAGTGAAACCCACCGTTTTTTACCCGGCTGCGCAATGCAAGAGCGCGAAGCGCGACGCGCAGACAGGGTTATGTGTTTAACAGTCTATATATGTATGTTTGTTCCTTTGTGGCACACTAGAGACCAAACGACTGGACCGATTTTGATGATTCATACATCAATCGATTCGTCTCAATCATGGGAGTGCTACTAAAGATATGATAATAATCAAAATTCAATATGGGCTAAATAAGGCGCCATATTGTGACGAAGTAAAAAAAATAAGTTGACAAAATATGTCGAGTGGGGTATCACTGTCTAGATAATCAAAAATCATATTTAGGTTCCTAACACTATTTTTCATTTTATATGATTGTTTAGGATCTACAACGCTTTAAAGTTGTATATTAACCACTTACGCTTTTAATTTCAATCTTACGTTTGTATGGATCTTTGTTACTCTTTCACCTAAAAAATACTGAATGGATTTTAATGAAACTTAACAGTAATATAGCTCATATATGATAATTACATATATATATAATAATTTATGTAGTTATTGAGTGAATTGGCCAATATATAACAATAAGTGTCACATAAGACGGAAAAAAATCCCCCATCTGCGAGCCATTTTGGCCTGCACTGCAAAAACAATAAAAGTTACATGAATGTAATGTAGAGTGAAAATGTATCTCTTAAATAGTTCTAAAAAAAAGTCCGTGACACCATATATCTATTTTTAATGTATAAGTCATTACCGCTAAAATAGTGAATCAAAACTAAAATATTATTTGATATCTATTTCCAAAATGCACATTTTGTATTAACAAATCATGTTTTATCAAAACAAATACTTTTATCGCTTTTGATATTTAAAGACGATAAACTTTGCTTTTTACACTATGTCATTTTGACAAATATTTAAAAAGTTACAACGATGACAAAGTGATAGCGCGGTGTACTACGTAAAAGAAAAAAAAATGGGGTATTCGCAGTATCTGATCCTATACGAAGTACTAACAATAAAACTGTGATACAGTTCCTTCTTATTAAATGATGAAAAATATATTATCATAATAGGTATTTATGATTATTGAATTTTAATGAAAAACTCAGAATTTTACTGTTTTTCATTTTTTTAACGATATTACTTAATGTTACAAAAAAGGTTTACTTAATATAATGACAAATAACCCATTCTTCGCTAGTAAGTACATACTTATTGGAATCCCTGTATTTATTAATCAGCTCGCGATAATATTGGTTTGTAATAATTCTGCAAAATTCAAAGTAAATAATGTAGATTTTTATAGGTAAATCACCCCTTTCATCACCATACGCCTATAAGTATTGCGATGTTGTAGCTAAGAACCAAGTTCCCATCTACTTCTATATGGGAATTCATTATATTCGATTTAGCTATTAGGGCACGGAAGCGCAACAAACAAATTCACTTTTGCATCTATAATATTATATTATACTTACTAGTGATCCACCCGGGCATTGTACGGGTGAAATTTATTTATCGGGATAAAAAATAGCCTATGTCACTCGGACAAAATGTATTTAAATAAAGAAAAATGTTATTATAAATAACGTAGCTACCTTATGATGAGTTAATATTTGAAACCGGTCAGTAGTTTGACAGATTATTTGTTACAATCATACAAATCTTGCTTCTTTATAATATTAGTATAGATAGTTAGGATAAGGTAAGTATTTAATTGATGAAAAAGGTTTAAAAATAAAGTAAGTAATAGGTTTATTTGATTATATTTGTAGAAGTTACTTAGCATTTGTGCTTAACAGTGATACGTTATTCGGTATTTTTTTATACAAAAAAAAAAAATTGGAAAATAATTGCCATGTTTGCACTACTGGGAGTACTCTTCATTCGAGCTTTACACTACCAATAAAAAAGGGTCGAACATAAAGTCTTTGACCTGTTAAATGTGAACGCTTTAAAAGAAAACTACAAAGAGAACTATAAATTGATAATAAATGAGATTGCTATGGTGCTCTACCTAATTTTATGAAAATTTTATTATGCGCCTTTAGTTTAATCAAATATTATAAACTTTGCTTTGGTGATTGCATAATTATTTAATTTAGTGATCTAAGGCAATTGCCACCATTGTCCAAAACAACAGACAGGAATTACTGCTTTCTTCAACCTGCGACATAAACGTCATTGATTGGTATTGTATATAGGGTGATTAAAAACATTTGAAGTTAACTTCTGGCATCTACATATTGGGTTTCTGTGAATTATGTAGGTTAATCAAATTATGAGACTAGGGACTGACACTGAATTTGTGTATATCACAATCTTAGACGTCCGGCATTGACATGACAATGCAGCCACTGCCAATTTTAAATAGTCGACGAATAAAAGTAAATGAATTTTATATTTACTGCTAAACTATTAAAAAAAAAATAAACAAAAGATGACTTTTTGAGGAAGTGCTAGTTTACTATAAAATTTACATACATAAGAGATATTTATATAACGACTTGATTTAACTTCACACATTGAAAACAGAAAATTGAGGCCCATCTGTGGCCTTGACCCCGCTGGTAAAGTCTTTATATGTCTTAATAAATCAATCTTTTAGATCGACGCCAGGTACTTAATAATTCCTGCGATATTAATTCCCATACTGAAGTACAAGACTACGGTATATACCGTCTTAAAAAACTAACTAACTAAAAAGTGTGAAATAAAAAAGGTAAATTTAAAAAATCAAAAAACCCGACTGCTTAATTATGCTTCAAATAAAAACTGAAAAGAAAAAAACAAGTCCAGTAGTATATAATTCTGTTAATAAGGAACAAAGCTACTTTAACAGTCGGGACCCACTGTTGAAAAATATTATGTATTCTTGAATATCTAATGGGTCCCGACTGTTAAAGTAGCTTTGTTCCTTATTAACAGAATTATATACTACTGGACTTTGTAATGTTCTTTTAATAAGAAAACCAAAGTCCTTTTGGTTTAAAAGAGTTTACTTTCACCAGTTAACACTATACAATGGAGAGCGTAACAATCGTCAATACGTAGTGGCTTCGTACGGCTAACTGACTACTAAAATGGTGGCATCGCGAGAGGGGGCCGCGCGGAGCGCGGTCCGACTCCGGCGCATCGGCGGGAAGCGCTCTGATTGGTTGAGGGGCGCGCGGTACACGGTCCGATGCGTGCGTTTGGCGGGAAGCGCTCCGATTGGTTGTGGC